GCGGGGGGCGGGGGGGAGCAGGTGCGAGGAGGCCCCGCGGCAGAGCCCCCCTGACACGGACCACGTCCACCCCTTTTGTGCTGGCGCAGTGGGGAGGAGGCTGGCAGTGCCACGAAGGGGATGCAGAGCCCGCGTTGAGTTCACAGTTGCCAATCGCTCGTCACTCCCAGCAGCAGGATGGATTTTCCCCAGTTGAGCTGAGCCACTCCAGCCGAGGCGCAGACGGCCCCTCACACACCAGGAGCCACGAGCAGTGTCCTTACCCTTACGTGTGCTCGGCAGAAGACCCCTACTTCTCCTCGCTCTCTCCAGATGACCCCGTGTCCCCGGGGTTTGCCAGTTGCTTTGCAGAGGGGCAGGATGCTCTACCCCACTTGAGCGCTGTGGGTGTCCCACTGCCGCCCACCGTGACCAGCTCCCCCCCGCCCGGGCCAGCACCCCACTGCAATGAGAGGACAACGTCCCCAGGTAGATGATGCAGCTCAGCTCGGCCACTCGGGACTGCAGGTGCTGGGGGGTGGCCAGAGGTGCCACTGGTGCCGAGGCTGGGCTGTGGCTGCGCTGGGGCCGCATCCCCACGGGAGCTGAGGGAGCAACGGGTTTCATCTTCGCACTCGTTTCATCCTGCCTTAAATTTTTCCCATAGAAATAACCAACATTTTCAGAACAGCATGATTCTGGGGAGGTTGACTCCTCAGATGTTTAACCGTCGCCTCTGGTGCGCGGTTGGGCAGCTCTCACTGCACAGCTCTGTCGTTCGGCTGTGTTGTGCCGTGCTGGTAACCTGCCCGTGTCTCCCCAATTAGCTACCCTGCCACAGCCTGACGACGACGACCCCCCGCCCCTGCCCGAGCGGACCCCCGAGTCCTTCATCGTGGCCGGTGAATCGGGTGCGTGATTTCACAGAGCAGGGGTGGGGAGGTGCTGGGACGGCCCTTCCCGTGTCCGTACGGCACCGCAGCACCTGCAGCGCCTTAGCTCTGGGATGAGAAATGACGGCTCCTGTGCTCAATTGCTTCTAGGATCCTCCTTATTCTCAGCTCCCAGCCAGAAAAACAAATATTGGGACCTCCTCGGAGTGGAGTGGCGAGTCACACTCAGAGGTGTTTGATGACTTGGCGAGACTGAGACCAACTAAGGTAAGCGGCATTGTATTGCTTTTCCAGCACTGTCACTGTGCCGATTTCCTTATCCTGTTTCTTTCTGAGAGACAGACTCCAGTTCTGGCACTGTGTACTTTGAATAATTATTTCAGGGTTCAGGACTGGGAGGAAGCTGTGTTCTCAGTCAGGATCCTCCCTACCAACATCTGCTTTACTCCAAACATTCATATTTTGGGGTCCTAAATCCCATGCAAGGTAGTAAAAATGCTGTCCCGCTGTTGGAGAAGGCTCACGACGACAGGGAGTCAGTGGCTCACACCGCCCTGTGGCACGGGCTGGAGCGGAACAAAGTTTAGGGACTTCTTGATCACCCCACAGTTGAACTGAGCCCTGCAAAGCGAAAGGATGAGGCGTAAGAGCCTCTTCCATTGCGTGAGCACGGGGGTGTGTGGGGGCGGGTGTTGTACGTAGCACCGTTTCCTAATCTCTGGCTTGCTCGTGTGCAGCAGAACCACACTTGATTGTGGGAATTTCAAACTTTCCTTGTTTGTTTTTTTCCAGAGTGTGAAGCTTCGGAGCCCACAAAGAGGTATAAGTTTAATGCTGAGATAAACTCTTTGGAAATAAGGTCTGCTTGTCACTGAAGCGGCTTTATCGCGTTTAGTAAATGTCTTCAGGAGCTGTGCGCAGCCCAACGGAAATTTGGTGTTGCTAAATAGTTCTGCAGCTAAACCATGCCACACAGAGCAGGGCAGTCTGCAGCCAGGCGGACGGGGAGCTTTGTGCTTCCTCACCCTGGGAAGGCCACGATGGCCCTTGCAGCTTCCCAGGGCTGCTGCATCCTTTCACAGAATCACTGAATTTTAGGAGTTGGAAGGGACCTCAAAAGCTCATCCAGTGCAACCCCTGCCAGAGCAGGATCACCAGAGCAGTCACACAGGAACACGGCCAGGGCTTTGGGTGTCTCCAGACAAGGAGACTCCACAACCTCTCTGGGCAGCCTGGGCCATGCTCCATAACCCTCACACTGACAAACTTTGTCCTCATCTTCAGCTTGAACCTCCTGTGCTCCAGCTTGGGACCATTGCCCCTTGTCCTGGCATTGGCCATCCCAGAGCAGAGCCTGGCTCCTTCCTCCTGACAAATTGATCCCCATGAATGAGAGTACCCCTCAGTCTCCTCCAAGCTAAAGAGCCCCAGCTCCCTCAGCTGGGAGGATAATTTTTTTTGCCGCATGTTCCTTTGAGATGACTCACATACACTGCTTAGGGTGCTGCAGACCTCCCAGGGAACCGAGGTAGATGTATATGTGTATGTATATATATTTAAAGCTAGGTAACCAACTCTTTCATCTTTGCTTTCTTAGAGACGACCCGGGATCGCTCGAACTCTCCTCCCCCGCTTCCTGACAGAACCCCCGAGTCATTTGTCCTTGCTGAGGCAGCGAGTGAGTGATGGGCGATTTTCTGGGCATGTAACTCAGATTTTACACCAAACCTGTGGGCACTGAGGAGATTGTGGCCCGCTTGTTTGAAGCGTTACCAACAGCCGTGCTTGAGGGCTGAACTGCAGGGAGAATTCAGCTAAAAGCAACCAGGGGACCTGCTGGAAGTTTCTAGAACTGCTGCATTAGAGGAAATGAAAAGCAGCAACAAAGAAGTTAGAGAAAAGCAGGAGGGTTCAAGAACGACCACTGAAATGCTCTGATGTATGTTCCCAGGTCTGCAGCCTGCTGCAGGAAACTCCACGAGGACTCCTCTGGGCCTGGAGAATGCTTCTGAAACGTCGTCCAAAGAGCCTACAAAATGCTTCAGGAGAAGCAAGGTAAAAGAAACCAGACAAACACAAAGCTTTTGGAAATGCAGGGAGTGAGGAGAAATCGCTTCAGCCACAGCTATTGCCACTTCCTCCTGCTAACCCTGTGAAAATCGCCTGCTTTGAGGCCAGTTGTATTTAGGGCAAGGAAACAAGATACAAAATACCCTGGTGCGGAGCCACGAGCAAGCCCCATGTCTGTGCTGGGAGCAGTGACACGGTCGTGCCCGTGCGTGGCGATGCCTCTGCGCGCTGCGTGCCCGGTGTCACAGCTCCTTGGGAAAACACTGCTCTGGGGGCGCCTGAATTCCCGTGTGGGACAGAGATGCTCATCCCGGGACTCCTCTTGCTGTGGCTAATTACCCTCAGGAGCAGCCCTGCTTCGGGATGTTATGGCTGAGCAGAAAACAGCAAGAGTAAGAAGAAACTTCTTCTCAGTGAGGGTGACAGAGCCCTGGCCCAGGCTGCCCAGAGAGGTTGTGGAGTCTCCTTCTCTGCAGACATTCAAAACCCGCCTGGACGCCTTCCTGTGTAACCTCATCTGGGTGTTCCTGCTCCGGCAGGGGGATTGGACTGGATGAGCTTTGGAGGTCCCTTCCAATCCCTAACGGTCTGGGATTCTGTGAAGAGTAACCAAACCAGCATCTGGGCTGGCTAGAAAATAGCCAGAGACAAAGTGAATGGTGGAAGTCTGCATTTCGGTCTCAGCTGCTAGGTGTGATGCTTTTGAGACGTGTTACACGTATATTTTTCAGTGAACCCCTGTATCACAGTAGCTGATCTACTGCTTGCTACAGTTTTTTCCTACAACCCTTCTTTTTTTTTTCTCTTACAGAGCTTGAAAATACTGAAAAATGTGAGAAAGAGTAAGTCTTTGGGGCTAATGTGCATCTCCCGATGGCTTTAAGCAAGTGTGTAAGGAAATACATGGGACCGACGTTTCAAGAACCTGAACTTGTGACATGTGAAAGGCCCTGCACCTCTGCCTGCCTCGGAGCAGGACGCAGCGGTGGCCCCGGCAGTGGTGCCCTGTAACGCCCTTTGGGTACCCTGGGACAGCTCCAGTGCACCCCGATTGCCAAATTCCAACCAGTGTTGTGGGACAAATGCTCTAAAAACAGGGGACGGGGTGCTGGGGGAAATGTGAGCCCATCCTGGATTCTGCCCAGTCTATTTGGAGCACAAATAAGGAGTTTCTCATTAAGTTCCCTTTGATCTAAAACTAAAATGCTCCTCTTGAAAACAGGACTGATAAAAGCCATTTAAAGCCCTTCTGAGCAAACCTGCTCCCAGTGGATCGTGCTGCAGGAGCGCACTCGCTCCCTGCTACAGCAAATGTCGTTAAAACTGCGTGGCACTCGAGCTCTGCTAACGTGGAAGTTGTTAACTCTGCCTTGTGCCGAAACAGCCCCCGCGCCCCATCGCCACGCGTGCACAGGGTGTGCTGTCCCGTAGCTGTGCCCGAGCCCAGCGCCCCCAGGAATTCCCACAGGGACCAACCGCTTCAGTCCCCTCTTTTATTTCTAGGCATCTGTAGCCCATCTTCACTGACAAAACCGTCAGAACCTGCCCCGTCAAACCACCCGAGGTCTCTCCTTAACTTTGGTATGTTTTTGTCCCTGTGTTTCGGTGTAGGAAGTACCTGGTTTTTGAAAGTCTAAATGCAGGTACCAGGTGGAATGCTACCAAATCACAAGCATTACAAATAACACTTATTCTTTATTACGCATTTACAACTTTATTCACCAAGAACAGGTAAGGACAGAAAACACAAACCCTGAAACCTGCTCGGCCCAACCTTTCTCAGTGCGTGAAGAGTCTGCAGCGCGCGTTTGGCTTTCCTGTGTCTGAAAGCCTTCATGTGGCAACCGAGACAGCGGAAGATAAAGACAAAGCTGTAGCGTTGCCATTCACTGCCGCCCCGTGTGGGGTGCCTTGGCAGAGGAGAAACACCACGCTTTCCATGTTAAATCCTTCTGCTAGAGAGCAGTCACGTATTAGATTAGGCATAAAATCTATTTATCTTGATAGCCACGCTATAACGACTGCTTGTTGACAGACACAGTGGTAGACAGCAGACTCACAACTGCAGGATGTTGCTTTAAGTCTACCATACCTTAAAGTTCGGTAAAGAACTGAATTGACAAGTATTTTCAAATACAGCATTATCTTAAGGGATTGCATAATCAACATCTATAACACACAGAATTCATTGCATTAAAAACATAATTTCTTCCTAGGCTTTGCAAATCGATTTTCAAAACCTAAAGGAGCAAGAAATCCACCGCCAGCATGGAATATTTAGACACATTTTACAGATCTGTAAAGCCCTTCTGACGCCTGCAGTGCTCATCCCAGTACGGTTTCCATCCAAACAAATACACCAAAAGCTGTAGCGTGATATCTGAAGCCCAGGCACTGCTTGCACATTCTTCATCAACTGAAGTGTCACAGTAAAGAACATGAAAGCACCAGCGCCTAAGCACTTCCAGTTAACGTACAACAGGATGGAAACTAGAACAGGGAATAGAGATTTTATCCGAAGGACGGATACGCTTCTGTTGTGTTTTGGAAAGGATGTTTCTATAGGATGAACTTTCTGGAACACAGCAGCGTACACCGGTGAGAGGATCCAGCGACGGCCACCGCCGGAGGGGAGCGGAGCAGAGCAGAGCAGAGCAAGAGCCGCACGGTGCGGACACAGCGGCCGCGTAACTTCACACCCGCGCAGGTCCGCTGCACCCAGAGACCCGCGCTTCCTTCAGCGTTTGCATTACCTGGGCTAAAAGACAACGAGCATCTCAGACTTTAGAAGTAATCCTCCTGTCGCGACGCCTCACGTTTGACGACTCCGCTGCTTGGGAAGCCGCGTTCAGCGGTGGTGTATTTAATCGATGACGCGTTTTATAACGGGTGAAAAACACCGTAAAAATAAAGTTTATTTATCGGCCCGCACCACCGGCCCTGAGCGCTCCCGGCCCC